CCCCAAAACCCCAAAACCCCAAAACCCCAAAACCCCGGAAAGAAAATATTCTTGTTAATGGAATAAAATATAAATTTTGAAATATAACTTTTAAATATGAGAAAATAATCTCAAACACAATTACTTCTGATAGGCACCATTATATTATCATCACTGAGTGTCATTATTGCTAAATCTACAGTTTAAGTTAGCAAAGAATAAAATCAGATTCTAAGACTTGACAATTTCAACAAAGAACTCTTCTGGGAAGAACCAGATGAAGGTAAGTCATGGAATTATTATGCATTATTAACAAATTATTTTAGGTCTATATGAAGTGGATGTAGGATTAAGAGCTGCTGAAGGAGAAACTGGAAGTCATCTTCAAGCTTTCGCAGATATAAATAATGATAGATATACAGATATAATAACCATTAATGAAGCTAAGACTGTGTTCACTGTGCATCTTTATGAACCAGCAAAAAAGATGTTCGTTTATTAGAAGAGTTTCAAACCTAGTGATTGCCAAAAAATCACTAATATAGCAGTCGGTAGATCTGTTGATAGAATAAGACTATTTATCACATGCTAAACATCATCTATAAGCAGCTAGTCAACCAGTACTTCTAATCATGGTACTGTCATTAAGTTATTCGATAAATACGGAAAGTATGTAGACTTTGAAGAACAAAAAATGCAAATTCCTATTGAATCAGGAAGTCAACCATTCATTGCAGATCTTAATGGAGATTACCTGGAAGATATTATCTATACAGATGTGAATCATGACATCAAAGTAGCGTTCTAAAAGAGAAATCCTGCTGAATTATTTGTCACAGACTTTGACTAAGCTTTGCTTGTCACTGATGAGACGGAGGGTTGCTTACAGAAAAAGAATGTAAAAAGGAAGTTAAGTGTTCCCCATTCAACTTCATTAATTGATTTTGATGGAGATTGCCTAAGCGATTTATTTATTACAGTGACTGAGGTGAATTCTGGCAAATCTTTTTACGAAATTTACATTAGACGTGAAAAGGAACTGCAAGACGATCTTAACTAAGATGATCCTTAAAATATATCTGCAAATTAAACTTAACTTGATAGCTCTTTAAGAGGAATGAACACTTTTTGTTTAGTTTCCAGAGAGGAGATACCAAGCTCGACTAACAATCTCTTTCATTTTGCTGACGTTGATAGAGATGCTATGATTGATATGCTATTTGTAACTAAGAATGACCTTAGCCTGCATGTCTATCACAATAAGCTGTAAAATTTATAGAACACTCTTAATTAGTAAGGACAATCTGGCTTAGGCTAAAATTTCAAGCAAGTGTGTGCTGATACCAACAGACCAATAAATAAAATAAAGGACATCTTTCAATCATTCTCATAGATTGAAGAGAAATATGTTGTTAAGCAATTAATTTCAAAAGACTCTAATGCAGTTGACATGTACTCTGATGATGAATAATCTATGCCAGGCCGTTTATATATTGGGGATGTTACCTCTGATGGATTCCCCGATATTTTAATAACTATGAAATATATCAATGGCACTACCAAATCGCATATATTGGTAAATTCTCCATGCGATAGCATGTGCACTCCAAAGGCGGCGAAAGCAAAAAGAAGAACTTTCAATCTGTAATACAATTAATACTAGAACTTGCTTGATTAATTTGATAAGGTCAGATATGCTGTCTTCTTTGATTTAAACGAAAATAGTATGATGGATATAATATTAGTTAAGGGTGAAAAATCAGAGATATCCGCAATCTATAATAATTTTGCGAAAGATGCCTTTTTCCTTAAATCCAGAGTAATTTCAGATGAATCAATAGGAAATACTCTTCATTCAGCGTCATTCAGATGTATTTTGACAGATTTAGATGAATAGAAATTCATTTCAATGACTGGGTAGAGTGGGTAAACTGCTTTTTAAGCATTATAAATGCCATTCGCATAGATTGGAATTGGTAGAAGTAACAATTTTATTGAGTAGTTTACTGTAGCAGTTCCCACAAATGGCACTAGAGTGATGAAAAGATGGACTCCTATTATCCCTAAAAGTGTACTTTTCGTAATGGTGAAGAATGATGATTAACTGACAATCCCTTCTTCTGATCTATGGGGACTAGATGTGCTAGTAAAGCCAAATGAAAAAATGATACTAATTTTACTAGTAGATGCAGTATTCCTACTAATTCTTGGACTTATCATCATTATACTACATTTACTAGAAAAGGCTAAAGACAGAAAAGAGGCAAAGTCATTTGACTACTTCTGAATAAAGTTAATTCCTTATAAATAATCATATACTATAAGTGATCAATTTTATACATAAATGTTTATTTTAAGCCTTTATCTTAATAATTTAAATAATTAAGCATTATCACACAAAGAAGTGAATATGCTTAGGTATGTTTTTAATAAGCAACACGAGGTAGAAAGCCTATTAGAAGTTAATATGCTCAGATCATTCTCATGTCTCTCATTTGTCCCCATCCGTGATAGTATCTATCTGGTGCATATGGGTTCTTGAGATTGTATGATGACTTCACATTGAGCTTTGGATCATCTGGATGATGAGTGAAGAACTTGATTTCTCTTTGAAGAGCTGACATATGCTGTCCATGAATTTAGAAAGTGCAAGCCCAGAAATTACGCTCCCAAATTAAGCCTGATTTGGCATCCTTTAGTCTCAGATTATCCTCGTCATCAACACTAGTTGATGCCACAAAGAAGTAGAAATCAGCAATATAGAACCAGAAGCTCACAACCCCCACAGCAAAAATTGAAGACCATACCTAGAACCAACCTTCTGAGTTGACGTTATAGAGAGCCCAATCAGAGTTTCTTTCAAGAGGTCTCCAAACTGGGAAACCGTGAGAGGTATCTTCCTTTGCTAGGACTGAGAAACTGTTAACAACGTCTGGTACCTCAAGTGACATTCTAAAAAATATGTTATCACATCTTATTATAAGCTTACTGCGACAAGACAGTTTGCTTGAAATAGTAGAATCTAGCGTAGAAGATTCTCTTTTCAATTCTGAAGTACTCATAATTGTTTTCCCCTACAACTGATTGAGCTAAATTTATACTTACCCATAACTCTAGCAACCCATTTACCCATGAACTGAGTGCCGTTCTTCCAGTAGTTGGTACGGGTAGAGAAGAGATTCAACATTTTAATTATATATTATAATACGGCATTTTATTATTGTAATTCATCTATTTCAAATAGCAAAGCCTTTTGGGGTTTTGGGGTTTTGGGGTTTTGGGG